GGTTGCTTTCTGCTCCCCTGCTTAACTTTCAGTGGTTTAATGGAAAACCCACTAGTTGGCGAAAAGTTAAAGTCCTGACATCCCGTGGCAAAATGCACCAAAGTTTTCTCCATCATGTGCTTACAGAACTCTACGCTTCATCCCTTCAAGCAAACTGCACCAACTCTACGCTTCAAACTCCTCGTCGAGCTCGTTCTCCACCAGCCCAGGGAAGCGAGCGAAGCGCCGCGCGAGGGACTCAGGCATTCGCGGCGGATGGGGGAGGGTATATGGCCATGGGTCAAAATCCAAATCGGTTAGCCCCCAGTGAACATCTCAATCCAACCACTAAAATAGGTTCTAGAATGGGTGGTGAATTCACAAACCCCAACAAAGGATCCCATTGGTTTTGACCCACAGGGTCACCCTTTGGGGGTTGGTTCAAAAGGAAAGCAATGGACAACCAATTTGTTTTTGTGCTCCCCCATTTAGGGACAAGCTCATGTCCACCGTTCATTTTCAAGAAATCGTCCAATTCTCCAAGCTATTGCAAATCAAGGAGAGCCCATCTGACTGCCAGCACTTGTTTGAAGCAAGTCTTCCCAGCATTCACACCAGCATGATATGGTGCGGTGGGCGGTTGTCCAAACATGGGGACTTGTTTGGACAGCTTTCCAAGGCAACCCACAAGCCACCAAGGTTCAACAGGGGCCAAAACCTCCTGCAAGAACCCGAAAGGAGATGATCCGATATCTTTGCGGATGGATGGACATGAGCTGGGATCGGCAAAGCCAAAGCCCTCTACTGACAAAATATGAACCACCTACCAGCTGGTGCCAAGTGGACCATCCATCGCTTCGCTAAAGCCACGTGAACCCGGGAAACGTCTCGTCTAAGCCGCCCACGTCCGTGAGCTCACGGGCATCCACAATCTCGTCGGCCACGTTTCGGGTGCCAAAGTAGCCTGGGCCACACACCTGGCTGTGGGTCAAAACCGTTTTGGGATCCTATTCTGGGGTAGGTGAATTCACCACCCAGTTTAGAACCTATTTTAGTGGTTGGATTGGTTGATGTTCACTGGGGGCTAACCGATTTGGATTTTGACCCATGGCCACCTCTGTCAAAACGCAACACCCAGCCCTCGAGCCTCACCTTTTTGTGGCATTTGCAAACTAAAGCGCGAAGGCAGAAAATCAGAATATGCTTTTGTTCAGTGCTCCGGCCGAAAGCGCCAAAACATGGCGACGCGCCAAGCCTTGTGCCTGGAAAACAAAAAACGTGGAGCTCGTATGCTGAGTTTGCCTTGCTGAATGAGCCCTCACCCAATGTGGACATGAAATGGAATCCCTCGAAGGCGAATCAACTAAGGCCAAATCTGGGGAGTAAGTCGCTTTTATTTTGCGGCCTTTGGCTGCGACCCTTTGCCCTCCGCAAATTTTTCCAAGTTTTGCTGGGGCGACGCCTGACTTGCAAGATTTTGGGCTGACGCCTGCAAACCCTGGCAGAACAATGACGTCTTGGGCTCCTAGCCATTCTCGCGTTCGACTGGACAACTTGCGAATTCGCGATCATCCATGCGATCTATCCAATGGCTCAAGCTTTACAGCTAAGTTAATAATTGTAATAGTTCACCAATTTAAGAGAAGGAATGACAAGGGTTCTCTAGATGCAAAGAGCCTTCATCACGGGTGAGGTCGCAAAACGACAGGAAACGGATACCTTTTATGCAACATTACAGGCCTCACCCAAGCATGTACACCACCTACTCTGTGCAGAAGCCGAAGGAACCCGGGACAAATGCTAGCCAGCAGGCGCGAGGGTTTTTGGGATCTTGGTGCTGACTCAAGGGCTCCCCGATACGAAGGGATGGGTAAATACCTCCCCTCCGTTCCCTCCCTCTGAAAACTTGAAGTCAAGGTAACTGAGTGATTCATAACATTTCACCAACTTAAAATGAGGTGGTTGGGGGGCTATCCCCAACATAAACCACCATTTGGGGTGAGGTCGTTATGATTCACCCAGAGGTAAGCAAACCACCGCGTGGCTTCGGCAACGCCTGCAGCCAAGGTAGGTGGCGCCGTCGAGCCGCGTTTAGCTCCTGAAGGCACGTGGAACCTGACAGAACCGACAGGAAGATGTGTTTCCTCTTTCGTCCCACTGAGCTGAGACGCAAAGATGTCAGAGGTCTGCAAGTCTTGTGATTTCTGCTTCGCTGCTTACGAGTCTCCGCATCGCCTTCCTGGACCCACAACTCCCAAATGTCTTATGAACACTGTCTGCGCGAAGCCTCCGCCCCAGCGCTTGTGGCGTAGCCAGTAAAGGTGAGCAACAAATGCCTTTTGATTCTTTGCATGCTTGGTGGTTCACTAGGCAATTAACATACCGGGTTTGATGATTACCCGTACCCTTATGAGTCAGCACCGTGGCAAACACATATCCCCTTTTCATCTCCTGCATGCGCGCAAAGTGGCCCACGGTGTACTGAGGCACGACCTGCACACATGGAAGGGGTTCTCTTAGGGCACAAAGGAACTTTTGACATGGGGAGCCTAAGCAAGTGAAGAGAGCAGCTCTTCCTTTGAACCACAAAGGGTGAAGCAACTGGGCTGGTCTGAGCACGATGTGCATGCGCGACATCTGGAACTTGAAAGAACAGCGGATTTTCTGGAATCATCTTTCTCCGTTTGTCTTTTCTTTTCTTCTTTTGTCTTTTTTTTATATATCCTGGTTCCAAAAGTCACAGTCCCAGAACTGCCGGTGGATTTCACCCTTCCTCCCGCGCCAAGCCACCGAATGCAAGGTCTGTAAGGTCCAGGCATCCTGCCATAGCGTGGCGTAGGATTCCGAGGGCCTGAGTCGGATCCCGCTGCCCGGAACCGAAGGAGCCCCGCACGCTAGGCCCGGCTGCCATGGTCAGGTCACTCGAACACGAGCTGAACGCTTTCGAGCGATCGCGAAAAGAAATCGGAGCAAGACGCAATGTGGCAATGTCTGCTTCCGCGATGCAGGCATCTCGCTCGATCGAAACACCAGGCCCGAGGTGCTTACGAAACATGTCTTGGGAGAGTGTGATGCTACAGGGATGTGACCTGCTCTTGGCCAAAGTGGGAACCAGTTCTCACTGCAAATGGCCCACACGAAAGGTGATGCACTCTTGGTGTGGTCAAAAAATAGGAGCCTGTCATCGAGTGTGTGCGTGCCCGTTCCAAAAGTCCCCCCCAGGCCTATTTCCCGCCACACAATTTCAGGAGTGCGATGTAAGGCTCGAACTGTCGCATGGGTAGAGCGAGATTCGAGATCCGAAATTGTGAAACTTGACAAAGTGTGCGTCGCTCATACCAGGGGATTGTGAAAATTCAAGTTCAGCCGGACAATTGGTCATCATTGCCCAGAAACTAGTACCAAACACGAGTCTCAAGAATCATACATCACCTTCAGCAAGCTAAAGCGACATCCTCCGAATTACTTTCAAGGGTTTAAGGAAAACAGCTCCAAAGGCAAATTGGTCTGTGCTTTGAATGGAAACCAAAAAGCCATCAGACGCCACATTTGGGGTCCAAAAACCGACCCCAATTTGAGCAAAGCTCCGTTCGCACCTGTGGCGCCGGCTCTTCCTCGATGCCCAAGTGGCGCTTCACCGCGTCCAGCGCCAAAGCGGTCAGGGCAGCTTCCGAGAAGCCTGATGATCGGAAAAACTGCCAATTGACGTTTTGCTTTCTTTTCTTCTTGTTTGATGTACTTTTTGTTTTTAAGGGAGGTAGCCGAGCCCTGGATGAGGCAAGTTGCGAATAGGTCCCAAACCGGAAATACGGGAGGTTCACAGCAAAGGACCTTCATCCGGTTTAGCTCGTACCACTGTTCCGTGAGCTGGTTCTCCCGCCAAATTCTTCGGAAGCTGTGTCAGCTTTGGGACGAAGAGAGGGGTAGATTGGTAAGGGCACGGAGGGAGCAAGAGAGGGGATTAACTTAGCAGAGGTCTGGACACTCATCCCCAAACCTTTTCTGAAAAAAAAAAAAAAAAAAAAAAACAAGAAAAACAAAAAAACAAAAAAACAAAAGGCAGGTGCAAACTCCAAGCGACCGCCCAGCGGCCGCTCCCCCGGGGCGGACTCACAAAGTGACCATTGCCCCCCCGAAGAAAAAAACAAAAACAAAAACGTGATATGAGCTCCAAAAAGCCGGAGCAGGTGTTCATTTCCAAGAATTAGACAGGGGAATGACCTGTTGCAACTGCGCGCCCGCAAGTGCAACTCACCTGGGCAGAACTTAACTGAACTGAACATGAGCTGGCAACCTAAGAGTATGAAGCTTCATCATAGGATGGGGGGCGCAAAGCGACACCTTTGTGAGGTCCACATACTTTGCCACGGCTCTAAGATCGCACACTCACACACATACATACAAGTGGAGACATCCCGAGACATGACCTATGAAGGGGCAATCCAGGGTACAAAGGGTACGAACCCCACAAACCCTGAACGGCAGGGTAAGTTCTGGGAAATCCGCCCTCTTGCCAGCTCCAACTGGTCCTGCCTTGCTTGCTCTCTTTTGCCATGCAGCCATCAAAGTACCTCGCGCGCACCGAATTCTCCCCCTTTTTTGGCTGGGGCTCTGATCTCTTGCGACAGCCAACATACCAGCAGGAAAGAATCAACACATTACACATCTTATTGGTTGGTATCAAAGGGGGGCCAAAAGGAAGCAACTATTCTAAGGGACCCCTATTCTGAGATACACTCGGTAGATATATGCTGTTAACAAGTCCGGTCTCCAGCTGAGCAGGACTTTGAGGCATGCCTGAATAGGTAGCAGGGGATGCTTGCTTCAAATGTTAACATGTCCGGTGCTTGTAGGGTCCATGCAAGTGTTTGGCGGAAGTGTTTGGTGCCATAGGCTTGTGCTTTGTTGAGGCACCTGGTTCAGGTTCAAGGGGAGCAACACGGCTTTTTGGATCCCTTTGACACATACCCGTATCTTCCTCAAACCATCCAGCTCTGCCCTCTGCTCCATCGGCGGCGCACAGCGTCATGCAAGCTCCTCTGGAGGCTCCTGTGACTGCAAGCTCCCCTCAGAAGGCGGTCGCTGGGTTGCCCAGACTTTGGCTATCAACGTATCCTTGCCCCCCCAAAGTGGAAAATACAGGCTTTGAGAAAGCTTCCCTCAGGCTCCATTATATACACACATATCTACATAGACACACATGTATCAACTAGGTTGGCAGGCAACATTCTGCGACCCACTCCCCCTCCCCTCCTTACAATTTTCCTTGTGGCTCTCAAGACCTGAGGGACAACTGCGCGTGCCTCCTGGGGATCTCTGACCATGTATTGACTAAGATTTCATCGCAGTTTCTGGCAACACGTCGTAATCATGGTTCCCTCAATCGGACCCCTGTAATTTCAATTGACTCTTCGATTTAACAGCTTGCCGGTTGATAACCATCACTATACAAACCTCGAGTAAATGGGCGCATTGACTATGACATAGGAGGGACCCAAATAAATCGCATCCAAACCACTTTCTTGATGTGTGGTCCATGGACTTCCATGGTATTCCCATATGATGCGCAATTGATAAATCCTCGATCGTATGATGCATAATGCTACAAGTTATATCAATTTCCAGTAACACGTGGCAACCATAAACTGTGGAGCAATCCTACCACCTAGGGAAGAAGGGCCAAATTCCTCTAAACCGATTCCTGCTAATGTGCAGAACCAATTAGGGTTTACCACAGAGCTATTGACAGTTTTGTCATTCACTGATATGTCTTTCCTTCGCATCAATGCCCCTTGCACTTGACTAAGTCTGATGAACCTTCATCTGGAATTTTCCCTTGGCATTGGAGCCACGACCAGACTGACCCAGCTGAAGCTGTCCGTTCGCACCTCGGTGGTCAGGGAAGAGCTGCGAGTCCCAGGACATGCCCAGCAGCGGCCTGAGTTGGAAATGCGTTGGGGGCGGATTTTTTTTCTCTTCGGGAAACCCTCTTCCGGTGGGCTGTCAGGGGAACGAGGAAAACCTCCAATTCGGGGGGTCCAACTTAAAAAAAGGCATACCCATTTCTCGGTGAGAAGCGCCAGGTCGCTTTGCCTTACAAGGTGTGGAACATGGGACCGTTGGATGCTGCGTAAGGTGACCTCCTTCAAATGGCCATGGGTCAAAAGCCCGTACCCCCAGTCAAGATCCCAATCCCCACTAAAATAGACTAAAATGGGTGGTGCACCTACCCCAAAATGGGATCCCATTGGTTTTGACCCACAGCCAAATACCGCAGCAGGCTGATTTGCCCGTGTGCCGTTGCTTTTTGTTTCCCGGGAGTGGTACTTGGGCAGGAGGGGCGGGTGGCGGGTTAGGGCCTCAGGGGCCAGAGATGTTGGGCCTGTAGAAGGGTCCCTGACCCAAAAGGAAACCCGATCCATACAGCCCGGACATCGACTCCAACAGCTCAGCTGAAGCCATGGCTTTTCTGTCAACAGCCACCCAGTCGAACGGCCGACTCAAAAAGCAGCGGGCCGGCCGTCCATTTTCCTTCAGTTCCCTTGTGCCTTCAACAAAAGCACACTTGTAGTTCTAATCCATATTCAAAACTCTAACATCTATAGATTCAACAGAGATCGTACTGCTTCAACTTCAACTGCTTCAGCGTCCTTTGGCTTCCCTGAGGACGCTGTAGTAGCTTGCAAACACACGATTTTGCAACCAGCCCTCAGCACTTGCGAAACAGCGGGTTCTTGCAGATGCCGTAGGCCTCTGCGTTCAAGAAGGGCACCTAAAAAACCGGCGAGGCCATCAGGCGATTGGCCCTTTCTCTGCTTGCCAATGTTTTCCATGGGGCTTTATGGGAAACTCAGGTCTTGCAATGTAGATACCACCTTTGCTTGCTGTAGGTGGACATAACTAAAGAGGGTGTCGAGATTTGACCCTCATTGAATCCCCAATAAAGAACAAGGGTGTCCCGGTTCAGTGGGAACGTCTTTGTTTGAGATCATACTGCGGCTCCTGAATCAAAAGTGCACTTCAGGTATGCCTCAAAACTTGTTTTTTTACTGGTTGGTTTCATGTTGGTCCGGCTCCCTCCAAAACTCCCCCCCATATGGTCCCAAGTCTTAACACAGAGGTACTAGCATGAGGCGGGGGAGACGACAAGTACAGAGTAGCCTGCAAGAGTGCAGTTGCTTTCGGGTTGTGGTCTGCACCACGTGCATGTATCGTTCTGCATCGCTATAGCCCTAGTCTCGACAGACCATCTTTTGAGACTACTGTTGAAGGGGATGGCAGAGTCATGCAGCATGACGCGCCATATCCTTCCATCGGCATGTCGGAACAGCGGGGTAGTCTGGTGACCCCGCAAGAAAGAAATTATCTATGAAAGAAAGACAGAAGCAAACAGAGTTCACAATAATCTGGGTGAATAAAACCAGTTCACATTTAGAAGATCCTTTGAATGGCCATAGACCCAACAAAAAAAGAAGCAGACCACTTTTTCATGGATGCATGGGTGGTCCTCCAAATCAAGGGACCGGCGTTCTGTCCTCCAACATCCTTAAACAAAATCCCCCCTTCTTGGAAGGCGTGCTTTGCAGGTTTCCGACACCAAGGTTGAGAGACTCGAAACCGCATCGACCGGTCTCTGGATTTGGAGATCTCAACATCGAATTTGGAGGATTAAGTACACGACTTTTCTTGGACCCTTTTGAGCTTGGGGAAAGCACAAAACACACACACACACATGGCCCAAAGGACCTGAACAAATAAACGGCACAACCAACAGGTCAAAAAAGGCTCACACATGCCATGATCAAACTCATGTGCGGCATGGTTCCTTCAACCGGCACCCAACACACATGGTGACCTAACTTTCCCGCACAGACCATCTTAATGTGCCTTTGCCTAGGGGACCTCCAACATTTTGGGCTTCGCTTCCCGATGCCATGTTCAACAAACAAAAAGGGTTAGAAAACCAAACCCATGTCAGAGTTCCTCAAAGGATCCATAATGATACATACCTGCTTTGCTGGGGGAGGTAAAAGTGCATCCTTTGAGGAACTGTGCATGTCATGAATTGCACCATCAACCAAAACAAACACCCATAATAGAGCCTCGATTTGAGCCGTCAACAGTTGTTGGGAAAGTTGGTGAGGTTTTTGTGGGGAACTTCGTGAATTTTCCATAAAATGAATTTCCCACAAAATAGACTCCCGGACATTTCGACCGAACCTCACTTGGTGGCCTGCGCAACAAGTTAAGCCTTTTATTGACTGGTGCAAAAAAAACACACGTCTTCGGAACAGTTGAGGCTAAAGATCCAAGCACATGGGAGTGTGCTCTTGGGGGCACACCCTTTGGGTTGGTTTTCAAGGGAAACCAAAAGGACACCAACCATTTTGCGGGTCCCCGAATTTTGAGAAAGTCGCACCCCCCCCCATCTTTTCGGGTGTCAAACAAAGAGATTTGGCGACCCAAGACATGGAACCCATTCATGAGACAAACTCATATGGGTGTGTCTGGTTGTCCTTCTGGCTTCCCTTGAAATGGTACCCTGAAAACAAATCGGCCAGAAGCTCAGGCTACGCTAGTTGGATGGGTGGCTTCGGGGTTTGAAGGTTCTGGTAGATGGGGAGCGCCCCAACCTCCAAACTAAACCACCTGAAACGGGCTTGTCATTGACGATATATTGCCCCCCGTTTGTGGTTGTCAAGGAAAACCGGCAGGCAAACCTCCAGAAAGAAGGAAACGCCCACCAGGTCCTCCAGATTTGAGTTTAGAATAAGTTGGTACCAGCTATTTTCTTTTTTGTCTATTTTAGTAGGGGGTTTCCTCCCAACGGGTGAAAGAGCGGGCACCTAGCCCGGCCCTCCCCGCCCAAAGCCGCGCGGCCAAGCTCAAGGCCGCCGGCTGCGCGTAGAACTCCACGCGGTCCACCTCACCGAAGGTCAGCGCGCCGATGGTGCCCCCTGCGCGCGGCTGCCCCCCCCCCCCCCCCGTTTTCAGAGCCCCCAGCCGTCCCTATCTTGCAGCGGGTGAAATGGAAACCCAACCACTAAACGCAAAAACAAAGAGTAAGAACCCAAGGGGACGGGTGAGTCACAATCAAAACCTGGCATTAAAATGGTCGACCCAGAACCATGTAAAGAATTAAGAAGGCGGAAATCCGCAGCTATGTATGGCTGGGATTTTCCCTTGCTAACCTTCATCTACCCAGGTTTTGATTGCGGCTCAAGTGACCATCTTGTAGTGGGTCAAATGGAAACCCAACCACTTCAACCTAAAGAAACTCAGAACCTAAGGGGACGGCTGGGAATCACCCAGCTGTGAGAAGTCTAAGGGAGACCACACAGAACCTGGGTTGTTTGTTGGGCTGTTTATGTTCTGCTTTGGCTTGAACTTCAGGAGCAAAAAGGAAACGGGATTGATGATTATGGTCGCCTAAATTCCTTATGAAAGCATCATGACCATGCCTACGAACCGCAAGCAAACGGATGCTCTAACCAAGGCAGAACGTGCTCCATTGGGGTTAAAACTCCTACCTGGTGCTTTTCTTTTGGTTGCGTGTTTTTTTTGGCGTTTGTCTGTTTGCTTGTGTGTGTGTGTGTTTGCCATTGTTGTTTAAGTTTGGTTTGGCGCATGTTTGCATGTGTGCCTGTTTTCATCTAATGAACTTGCAGCCGACAATCCCGAAACACTGCATTTTGGCAAACCCATTGCTGACGGCATGCTTTTGCCAATGGCACACATCTTGAGTAAGCATGACATGCAGCAACTGAACTACAATGCAGCACCAACTGACTCCGCTCTTTGCTGTCAAATCAGTCCGAACAGATCCGCAACATGAAGGACCTTCATTGCAAGCAAGCCCTTCTCTTTAAGTATTCTCCAAGCTTGTACTCATTCTTGCACATACCAGATTTGGAAAGGCATGCAAAGCAAATCAAAAAGGCTGGAGGATGTGTGGTCTAAAAACTCAGTGACTGGATCCTGGCCATAGCAAATTTGATTTACCCTGGGCTTCCTGAGGGTGGCTGTTCAAACCCATCATTAGGTATGCCAACTCCAGTCCTCTTGGGGACCCCACATCCAAATACGGCACCGCAACACCGAGGCAGGCGTGTGCATCAATTTTTCTTATTTGCGCCCTTTTTGGTGGGGTTGAACTGGCAGCCAGGAAACCAACCATTCCTTGGCAGAGGTGTCCTCTTAGGGGAAATAGATGGGTTTCCCTGGTAGATGAGAAAAACCACCAGGTAAACCAGGAATCGCCATCTATTTTTCTTGTAAAACCACCAAAAAGGACACCCACCATTCCTTGGGTTTTTTCCTGGAGACAAGGTCAGGCTACGTGGGGCTTGTTTTTCTTTTTTTTTGTCAACGTTGGCCTGTGTGCTTGCCGTAGCCTTCTTCCACCTGAGTGTCCCGAACCGGGAAAGCACAGCACACCACTTGGAATCTTCACGGAACGTGGCTCTTCATTTTTCGAGGGTAAGCTTTTTTTGTGGCTTGACAGAAAACCAAAAAGGACAACCTCTGTATCGGGAGTCTCGCCAAAAAAGCTTACCCATGTGAATGTGAAGTCTTTCGACGTAGCCGGCAAACACCTGGACCTTAATGGAATTCATCACTGCACGCCGGGCAGGACATCAATGATGTCAAGTACAAAACATCCGGATTTCCAAGGCAAGCCTCAAGCAAAGGTCCCGCTGAACTCTTCCAACAGGCCCCTGGGTTTCCCAAATAGGGCGCTGGCGCCAGAGCCAAAGCGCCCTAGTCGCTATCCACAGGCTATCCAATGCAGGTGATCCCAGCAAGCACCCAGGATCTTCAACCAACACTTCCCAAGTGGACCTTGGCTGCAAAAATAATGTTTCAGCTGCTGGGATGGGGAGGACCTGGCTTTCTATTTTTCCTCTTGTGCTTACTAAGAGAAGATGTATGAGAAGG